GTCGTGTATAAAGGCCGCCATTTTGTTTACCCTACCCGAATGTCCAGTGCCAGCTTGTCAGGCGAAGAGAGACAGTAGGACGAACTACGCTCTGCTACTTTTACCAAAATATCCACTGCTAACCTGAACAACGTTTTCCTACTGTCTTCGAAATATTTGCTGCTAACCTCTGGATTCTATACTCAAAGACGACCGTCATTATTTAGCAATATTTTTCATGCTCGTGTAAAAGTCCAAACCTCCGAATGTCCACCATTGATTGAACCAGTCCTTCTTTATGGATCCAGAAACTTGGACATTATCTGTTCGTTTTAAATGACGACTGGATGGAACATCATAACAAAAAGCCGACTAACCATAGAAAATCCAGAACATCTATTGCAGATCCCATTCATTTACGCTTAACACAATTTACGGATAAGTGAGGCCAATCTCAACTTATCAGCATAAACATTTTTAAAGAGCAGTTTGAAACCTGCTGAGCAGACTGCATGCACGTCTCATCCTTTCTCGTTTGGTATCCTTCCAAGGAGGTGTCTTCTTGGGATAATGAATTCTCATAGCCCTCGAGTTGAAGTTTTTTTCAAATGTTAACAGTTAAAACCATCAAAAAGCCTGTTGAGGACTTCCTAAATATCTTTACCTCCACATAACAGATTCCCAAGAAGAGTTTAATCCTTTGTGTATAAAGCCGCAAATCTCTTGCATGGGATACGTGTTCATGGAGTTCTAACCAACCAACAGGGAGGTTGATGGATGATGATGATAATAATGATGATGATGTTAGCAAGATTAATTTTCAGTCCGCGAATATTTTTTATAATAAACTTGTCGCAGGAAAAAAAATAACTACTCAATCTTTCAAATCCACAGCACCTGCATTTCCTACTTCTTCAAAATTTTCGAACACTGACTGAACCAAAGACCCGTCATCATGTATGGATCAGAAACTTGGACATGATCTGTTCGTCTTGAATGACGACTGGATGGAACAAATACAAATCTACTTAGAAAAATCCAGAACATCATTTGAAGATCGCATACAACGCTTAACACAATCTACCGAGAACTGAGGCCAATCTCTTTTAAGCTCAAACAAAAATGATTACAGTTTGCTGGCCATTGCCACCGAGCCAACAGGGAAATCGTTTCATACTTAAAAACAAAATGTCTGAAATTTTCTAAATTCATTGTCTTCTCCCGAAAATTGACTTTCTCAGACACCATAGCTCGCGATAGCGTTGGACATTGTCTGGGGACAGCATTGCAGGACCGAACAATGTGGAAAAGTCCAAACCTTTCGAACATTGAGTTCCGACCAACCCTTCTGGAGGTCGAAGGATGATGATGATGATGATAATGATAATGAATGGATAATGGCTCAGATTTGTTAAACGGAGAGCCGAATTCCAGTTCCAGTTGGGTTTATTATATTCACTTACGCGCAAATACCCTTGGGAAAGGTATGAATTTACCTCTTCTCCCCAGCTATGGGTTAATTAGTAACACTTTGTATCACTAAAGCATTATTATTTAAAAAATAATTTTACAATCATCAAAATGTTGAGGACTTTCCTGGACCTAAATAACCTGTTCAAAGGGTTGATAAACCAAATAATAAAAGAATCAACCAACCAAGAATTGCTGTCTGCTATCGATAAAGTGTCAACGGCATATCTTATGTTGGTAATATTTTTGTCGCCATTAATGAATCCTGCTAGGACCAGTCTAGTTCTCTTAGAATCGCATCGCTGTATAGGTTGAATAAGTCCGGATGGAACAAATATTACCTAAAAAATCCAGTTCAGTTGAAAATTCCATACAACGTTACTGTTGAGATGTCCAATCTCTTTTAAGCGTCAAACAAAAATAAGGACAAACACATACCGAGCCAACAGGGGAAAAATACTTACTATATCTGAAGAGTGTCTTCTCCCGAAAATTGATTTACAACACCATAGATTAGTAGCGTCAAACGAACCCACTGTTGAGATGTTGAGTGTTTCCGCGTGCATGTATTGAAATAAGGACAAACACATACGTAGGGAAAAATACTGGTATATCTGAAGAGGTATTTACAACAGAGAGATTAGTAGTCAAACCAACGCAGGTTAGTCAGTAACAATCAGAAAGAGTATAAAGTCCAACTGTATCTTCCGGTAGAGAGACGGAAGTGTGATGGTCACCTGATCTTCCCAGAACTCTATAGAACTGTCCTATTAGTAGTAGAGAGATCAGTCCATTCTGATGAGAAGGTGGGTGCGCTCCAACAGTTACCTAGGTCAATATACACCTGAAGCACGCCGGGGTACGTTGTGTTGCTTAATACTTTCCTGTTTCTTATTACTTTGCTTAGCTTTATGAAAACATCTTTCGGTCTCACATTACGCATTTAGAATTCCGTTTCGCGCTTTCTGCCCTCTGTTAAAACACTTTCCAGGTATTGAAACTGTTGTACTGGTTTGATTTTGGTATCCCCAATTTGTAATTTGCATATCGGGTTTGTCCCTTTTGCTAACAATCATGTATTTCGTCTTCTTGCAATTAATGCTTAGTCCTTTCTTCTCTCTTTCCTACACTCTATTCTATAAGAGTTATAGTTTCCTTTCTGTGTTTCTAACCTCGGCAGGAATTCGACGGGGGACTGGTTGGGAATACCAGGTTTTGTTTCCTTGGACGCGCGGATGGTGTAATGGATAATGGCTCGGTATTGCTCGTCGGAGTGTCGAGTTCCAATTCCAGTTAGGTTCGTTATATTCACTTACGCGCAAATACCCTTGAGAAATGTATGAATCCACCTTTTCTACCCCAGCTATGGGTTAATTAGTAAGACTTGTATCAATGAACCAATTCTATCTCCAAAAAAAAAACATTCTTACAATCTAAAAAGTATTTCCTGACGTTAAATAATCTAGGCTATAAAACCGGCTACACATTCGGTGCTTTTATCAAATGTTCAATTATGGACCTGTCACATTTACTCACGGAACTGAAGAATTGTCAGAGAGGTCAAAGAGAATCAGTGTGGCGGTGTGGCGCACGTTTTTTTTTTTTTTTTTTTTTTTTCAGATAAAACGAAAAAATGTCTCGAACCTCGAACTTCCAAATACCCTCACATAATTTAGCTAGCAGATCGATATCGTTGACTGGGGTGTGAATGTAGCAGTGTCCTTGCGGATTCTTGGAGCCATGTGTAAGTGTTGACCAGTACGATATTACTCGATACCCCACGAGGACGAGATGTGACACAAGGTCTTTTTAAAGTGCGGACTTGAGCACATGCACCCGAGCAAGGGACAAAAATTACCCACAGCCCCCCGCAACCATCGGTTGCGCTGACCTCGGTGCAAGCACCAATCCGTCCCTCTGGTGCAGATGTTCACCAGGACTGGGCACCTCTCCGTATAATTTTCTCAGATACCTCTCTGTCCTTTGATAGAGAAGCCCCTGAGCGCACTCTGTCCAAGGACAGAGACGCAACTGGGAGATGATAAGCCATGCGTTACAAATCCCTCCAAGGAGTAATTTATACGAGGTATTTAAATGACCCTCCCACAAGGTCAGGTTGTGACACAAGCTCGGTTTAATGTGGGGAGCCCGAGCGCGTGCACCCGGGCAAGGAACAAAAATTCTCAAAGCCCCCGCAACTGTCGGTTGCGCTGGCCTCGATGCGTGCACCTCGATGCGTGGCCTCTCTAGTGCAATGAGAAGACGCGGCCTCGGGCAGCTGTTCCCCAGGGCAAGGCACCTCTCAGTATAATTTTCCTCAGTTGCGACTCTGTCTTTTGACGAAGTCGCCTCTGAGCGCACTCTGTCCAAAGACACAGACTGAGAGATCATAAGCCCTGCGTTACAAATCCCTCCAAGGAGGAATTTATACGCGGTATTTAATTGAACCCCCACAAGCTCAGGTTGTGACAAATGCTCGGTTTCATGTGGGGAGCCCGAGCGGGTGCACCCGGGCAAGGAAAAAAAATTCCCCAAGCCGGTTGCGCTGGCCTCGGTTCGTGCACCGGTCCTTCTCTCTAGTGCAATGAGAAGGCGCGGCTCGGGCAGCTGTTCCCAAGGCACCCCTCGGTATAATTTTCCTCAGTTGCGACTCTGTTCTCTGACAGAGAAGCCCCTGAGCGTATATGCTGCCGTTGACTAGTACAGTCAGGAATCCCAGATACGCATGAATATATAACTGATTAAACCTACTAAACATTCCTTCTGCTTCTAGAGAGCTACCTGGTAAGTATACTGTTTCCAAAACATTTAAATAATATTCAGAATTAGCTCTGCTTAGACCTGAGAACAGGTCAAGGAGAAAAGAGCAGCCAGATTGATGGCTTTTTATCAAATGTTCAGCTATGAACCTATCGCGTTTCTGGCTTTAAATAACCTGCGAAAGGTTAATAAGCTGTAAAAAAAAAATCAAGCAATCAATTGCGTATGACGTTCTCTGTGGCTGAGCTGTCTAAAGTCCAGCGAATTAAATGGTCGTTTTTCCTCGGTATGCGGTTTCGAACCCTGCCGCAGACCCCATATTTTTTTTTTTTTTTTTTCTCGACCGCTCAAGTTGGTGGACGTAACAATACTTGGAATCTAAAAATATTTTCTAAGTAATATTGAAAGGGTTGATAAGCCGTAAAAAATCAATCAATCAATCAATCTGCCACTTCATATATATCCATATGCGAGAAAGTTGCCAACTATTCACTACCATATAAGAGATTGGATATTCCATAACAGTACAGTTTTTTTCTTACAATATTTTCTTATCTCTTAATACTTTGTTTAGTTTCTGAAAGACATCTTTCGCTATTTCAAGCAGTCTTCTGATTTATGTGTGACATTTTCTTCTTCTTCATTTTCTTCTGTGTACCGTTTCCCTTCCGGACGTGAATGATCACAGCTCTCCACATTGTCCTATCCTTTGTAGCTACTAGTCGAATATAATCGCAACTTCATAAATCGCATATCTTGTATAAGTTTCTTCTTTATGCGCTAAAAACGATATGTCTTCCTTTTTTTATAATATGTATATATTCTTAGAAAACAAAAATATAAAACGTATATTCCATCACAGAATGAAATTGCTCTGGTCTCTCGATGTTTAATATTCTCGGAATACCAGAAATATGTTTGAAATGCTTAGCCTTTCGGGGGGTAACATTTTTTTTTTTTTTTTTTTTTTAGTCGCTCCAGAGATCTCAATATGTGTTTATTATATTCGAATAATAATCATGGAAGTTGGTGGTGTTGCCACCCTAGTAATTTACGGTGGACATTTTTTTTCTTCTTGGAGACTGCACACGTCCGACATATATCTACAGTCTCCATAGCCTCCTTACTAAACTATAAAAAAAAAAAAGTTAAAAACTGTTAGTTCTTTTTTTTGATTCCAACCGCCCTGTCGACGTCATCCCCCCCTATAACCTGAATAAAAATGATTTCACCTTTTACAAGCGACACCAGTGAGACATATCTTTTAACCTGATAATCATTCTGTTCGTCCAAATTCGTAGCTTTCCACCCCCTCTATCTTTCTCTCTCTCTCTCTCTCTCTCTCTCTCTAGATAGATAGATAGATAGATAGATAGATATAGATACATACATATATATATATATATATATATATATTTCCCTATATATATCACTTTCTCTTTCTCTCTCTCTTTCTCTTTATCTCTTTCAATTTCTCTCTCTCTGTCTCTCTCTTTATCTCAATTACTTTCTATCTAACTCACTTTCTCTCTCTGTCTCTCTCTCTCTCTCTCTCTCTATATATATATATATATATTTATTTATTTCTAGTTTCCTCTATCTCTCTTTTCCCCACTCAATTTCTCTCACTCTCTCTCTTAATCTAACTCGTTCTCTCTCTATCAATCTCTCTCTTTCTTTCCCTCTTTGTTTATCTCTCAATTTCCCTCTATCTCTCCCTATATATATTTCTCTCTCTCTTTATTTCTTGCTTCCTCTATCTCTTTCCTTCTTTCTCCCTCAATTTCTCTCTCTCTCTCTCTGTCTCACTCACTTTGTCTTTCTCTTTATATTTCTCTCTCTCAATTTCTCTCTCTGCCTTTATACTTCTCTCTCTCTCTCTCTCTCAATTTCTCTCTCTCTTTCTCACTCACTTTCTCTCTCTTTATCTTTCTCTTTTTATCTCTCACTTTCTTTCTTTCTCTTTCTCTCACTTCTTCTCTCCTTTTATCTCTCCTCTTCGCTCTCTTCCTTTCTCTCTTTCTCTCTCATAGAAAAATAGAAGACAAGATAACTTAAGGAATCATATGAGAAATTCTCTAATTCCTCCGGCTACCCCAGTCTTAAAAAGCAATGTATCCCCTTTTTCACAAAAAAAAAAACTACCTTCGCGAAGGCGTCATATGGAGACGCTAATAACACCTCTTCGATAAACTTGCGTTCTCCACACACAGACACCCCTACATTGGCCCCCAGACTCCTTACCAAACACACGAGAAAAAAAAATAATATAAAATGGGGTTGAGAAAATTAACTTATCCATCGCTGTAATACTTGCCTTCTTTATTCTGTGACCCACTGACCATTTAAGGCCGATTTAACTAACAACTCGCCATAGGTCATCTGAATTTATTTAGCTTTTGTCCATCTCATTGTCTCATGAAGAAAAGTTTATGATTCCGACTGAGTGACGCCAAAGGTCGAAGCCTGAGACGGAAACATGAAGAAAAGGAAAAATAGAACAAATAATATGGTAAGAAATGATTATATATAAAAACGAACAGACGCCATTTCCCGGTCATAAAATATAATTAATAAGCAGATATGTAGGACCGCTCAGGGTTAGGGGGTTATATTTAACAAGCAACGTTTTGTGAAAGTTCTTTGCGGGACGCCCTATGACATTGGACATGTGCCGGATACAGCCAAGATCTTTATAGAAACGTATATCTCGAGAACCGGTTATACGACCTGTACGTAACTTTGCAATCAGTTTGAAATTAAATCGGTTTGTGAGTGGAGCTTGTATAAAATGTGAGTGTGATATTCACACTGACTGGATAAGTAGATCTTTTACAAACAGTACAGGGATTGGATGGCAACTGGTCTACCGCAGAAAGAAATGGCAACCTACTGCTGGAAAAAAAAATTTGCCTCATCAATCATGTATCGAAAGGTACATGATCGCCTAAGCGTGTGTCACGGATGGGATATAACTGACTGAATAATAATAATAATAATAATAATAATAATAACAACAACAACAACAATAGTAATTATAATAATAATAATGGGAAAGGAAGAAAAAAAAGATGAAAAGGGAGGTAACCAATATGAAGCCGATAATAATAAAAATGATACTATTAATAATAATAATAATAATAATAATAATAAGAAGAAGAAGAAGAAGAAGAAGAAGAAGAAGAAGGAGGAGGAGGAGGAGGAGAAGAAGAAGAAGAAGAAGAAGAACAGGCGTAAAAATTGATAAAAAGAAAGTCGAAGAAACTACACCATAGTGAATATGTAGAAAAATAATGTAAAAAGAAGAAAATGCATAGCCTTGGATGGTGACTGGTCCACCACAGAAAGAAATGGCAACCTACTGCGGGAAAAAATCTACCTCGTCAGTCATGTATCGAAAGATACATGATCGCCTAAGCGTGTATCACGCACGGCATATAACTGACAGAATAATAATAATAATAACAATAATAATAATAATAATGGGAAAGGAATAAAAAAAATGAAAAAGGGAGGTAACCAATATGAAGCCAGTGATAATAATAATGATACTATTAATGAGGAGGAGGAGGAGAAGAAGAAGGAGAAGAAGAAACAGGCGTAGAAATTGATAAAAAGAAAGTGGGGAAAAAACTACACCATAGTGAATATGGAGAAAAATAATTTAAAAAAAGAAAATGCATAGCCTTGGATGTCAACTGGTCCACCGCAGAAAGAAATGGCAACCTACTGCGGGAAAAAATCTACCTCGTCAATCATGTATCGAAAGATACATGATCGCCTAAGCGTGTATCACGCTTGGCACATGGGACATGTGCTGGATTCAGCTATGCCTAGCAAATATCTTTATAGAAACGTATATCTCAACAACTGGTTATACGTCCTGTACATAACTTTGCAATCAGTTTGAAATCAAATCGGTTGTGAGTAGAGCTTGTATAAAATGTGAGTGTGATATTCACACTGACTGGATAAGTAGATCTTTTACAAACAGTACAGGAATAAGGCGGGGCAGCAAAATATAACATGACCCATATCTGACAGCAAAATCATCGCAGTTCGGACTTGACTCCTTGCAACATCTGACTGTCGTCATTGAAAACGATATTTCAAACCGTGGAAGAGATTACGGAGATCGTGACAATGCAGCTGATGGCAATCCAGAACGAGGAATTCACAGAGTGTTTTGAAAAGAGAGGGAGAATGCTGGGATAAGTGCTTGTGCTAAACTGTAATGTAATGTCAGTCTTCCTATTGGGCAGTGAATACCGAAAAGCTTCCTCAAAGATGAATGGAGGGGCAGAGGCAACTGAAATTATGGATGTCCAGAAAGATACTTAGAATGATGTGGATTGAATGTGTGTGTAACGAGGAAGTTTTGATGAAAATGGAAACAAACAGGACGCTTATGCCGAGAACACATTATGTGGAAAGAGGGTTTGGAGAATTTAACACTCTCAGGACATAGAGTACAAGGGAATATGAGAAAAAAACACACTATTATGGGGAGGGAAGGATAAAAGATGATGAATTAAGAAAACAGAAGGTAACCATTTAACTGAAAATGCTGAGAACACATAATGTAGAAAGAGGGCTTGGAGAATTTGACACTCTGAGGACATCTTTAAAACAAGAAAGGCTGATCGAAGCAGCAAAATGCCTACCTAACGAGTTTGGGTGACAGACCAGGGATTTGGAAGGAAGGGGAAAAAGTAAAATTTAGTAAGAGCTACATCATTCAGTAAGACTCTACCTTGAGTTGCTCTTAAGCTTTATACTAGATGAACATTAGGAAAAAAACATGTGACAGTAGAGTTCATTTTATAATTAAAAATTCTAGATGACTAAGGTAGAATATATAGACAAGGCAATTGCAAAATGAAAAATGTCTGTCATTTTTTTTACAAGGTTTTTTTTTTATAGATTTTCTTTGGATTTTTGTAGATATAACCGTAAGTTCTATGTTAACAGTTTCTTCACTCGCAGTTTTCACTTGTTGAACTCTCTTCTGGCTTCTGGCTTTTCATTTAACTATAATGAAAAAAATGACAGACATTTTTCACTTTGCAATTGTCTTGTTTATATACTTTACCATAGTTATCTAGAATTTTTTTTATTTATAAAACGAACTTGAAGTCACATGTTCTTTTTTTTTTTACTAATGTTCATCCAGCACATAGCCCAAGAGCAACTCGAGGTAGAGGCTTGATAAACGATGTAACTCTTACTAAGACTCCCTGGTCTCTCATCAAAGCTCATTAGGTAGGCAACTTGCTATTTCCCTCTGCCTTTCTTATTTTAAATATGTGGAATGCGAGGGGAAGTGGGGGGGTCTTTTCTACAATGGGTGTGGCATGGCGGGTCTTGGCAGTGACGGTGGAAACTGGAAGAACTAATGCATGTAATTCGTCTCAACACTTTTCATGGAAATACAGATACAACAGTGAGAGGCTTGCGACATTTAGTCTGTGAGGAAAGAGGTTGTAGAATGGAAAATAATTCATCAACCACAAGGACGCGGAGACGCTTTTTGAACTCTATCGAGACTTGAGGATTAAGAATGGGCAGCTATCTGCCCTTATATGCCAACAATATTCCTGAGAGCGTCAAATTCTCCTAGCTCCCCCTTTCCCCATTGTGTTTTCAGTATTTCCAGTTAACTATGATTTTTTTATTTAAATACAATGTCAATCGTTATCTTCTGTCTTCTTAAGTCGCGTTCTTTTATCCTTCCTTAACCATAATAGTGTTTTTTTTTTCTCATATTCCCTTGTACTCTAGTAACCCCTTGCGTATGTATTGACTTGTAACTGGCTATCGTATGAATTCCGAAAAGTTAACACTGCTACAGGGGAATTTGTAAAACATTTGTGCGTTGTATATGGCTATAGTGAAGGCTTGTATATGTCAGCTATGGTTTAAGGGTTTTAAAAATGGCGATTCTTGACCTCTCTCAGAAAGACCACCCGCATTATACGAAAAGCTTTCGAAAGAAACAAATAATTATTAATGTTATAGTTCTCGATGTTGTTAAACTGGGAAATACACGATAAACGACATATTGTCAGGTGAGAAAATATTTTTGGACGTAGTTCTGTACCATTAAACATAAGTTCTAGTTTGGTTTGGTTTGGTTTGGTTTGGTTTGTTATTGTTAAGGTATATCAACCTCAATGGTTTATTGAAGCCGACAAAGTTTTTATCTATCTATCTATCTATCTATCTATCTATCTATCTATCTATCTATCTGTCTGCCTGTCTGTCTACCTATCTATCTATCTATCTATCTATCTATCTATTTCAGTATATATTGATTTGATTTGGTTTGTTTTATGGCATATCAACCTCAATGGCTTATTTAATGCCAACAAGATTTTTATTGCTGGTAATATTTCTATCTATCTATCTATCTGTCTATCTATCTATCTGTCTGTCTGTCTGTCTATCTATCTATCTATCTATCTATCTATCTCAGTATATATTGATTTGGTTTGGTTTGTTTTACTGCATATCAACCGCAATGGGCCAGTTAATGCCGACAAGATTTTTATTGTTGGTAATATTTTTTTCTTCAAAATGTATTGCTGATAATATTCAAAAATGTATTGCTGGTAATTTTTCTAAAATACATTGCTGGTAATACTTTTTTGGAAAAAGTATGCCTGGTATTAAAACCTATTTTTATACTTTCATAGTGTTTTGACCCCTTTTGTGGGGTTAACTATTTGTCCATAGCTGGGACCCTAACACGTGCTACCATCCCGGGTCAGAGTGGACCTAGGAACACAAACAATTAAGAGGTGGTTCCACGCTCCTCAAAACCCCCTCATCAGAGGCATTGCTGCTGGATGTAGTTTATCGTCTTACCCAGGACGCTGAGTTCTATCTTGGTTGGTTGGCTGATTCATAATTCATACTCTTATCTTTTTCTTTTTTACAACGATGTTCACCCTGTACAAGGCCCGGGAGCCACTCGAGGTAGCGATTTACATACAGATTAAGAGACACTGTTTATGCGGATAGCCGAATAACGGTAAAGCG